ATCAAGTCTACCATTCAAGGACTAAGCATATCGACGTGAGGTATCACTTTGTGCGGGAGATCTTTGAAGAAGGAAATATTCTACTTCAAAAACTTGCGACATCAGAAAATCCTGCAGATATGATGACCAAGGTGGTAACAGTAATCAAGTTCAATCATTGTTTGAACTTGATTAACATCCTGAAAGTATGAACACCTTCGGGTGTGTGGCGGTTGTGAGCGCAATTAGAGGCACTACAAATTTGGGGAGTTGAAGAAGTTGAGTAGGCTTGGTAATTTCAAGCCAAGGTGGAGATTTATTAGATTTGGCTTGAAATTAAGTTGGCAAGTTGGAAATTTTATCTTGGTTGGTGGCCAAACTTTGAACATGGGAATTTCATATTTGGTGGCTAACTTGTACACATTGGAAAATTCTTTGGTAGGTGGCCAACTTATTTTTCATGTTTAATCCCTAAAATATTAGGTTATTTATAAGTTTAGTCCTTAAAACTCAACTATAAATAGGCATAAGTATTTCATTAGAAATCATCCCAAAAATAAGTTCTCTCTTCCTCTTGTATTCTTTATTCTCCCACTTTGGGAATTCTAAAGAATTCCATTTGTTGTAATATTGGCGATATAGTGAAGTTATCATCCGGTGTGGTGCCCGAGGAGTAGACGATATTCTCGTCGAACCTCGTAAATTTGGTGTGTTCTCTCCTTTATTGTTTTTTATTCGGTTTTTTCCATTGTGTTTCAATATTCAATAGTTTGACAGATTTATCCGTTGTGCAACCTTTGGTGGTTTTGATCTTGACATTTTAGGTCAATTTTGAAACTACGTTCGTGTGGGAAATAACCTGATTTCCCCAACAGCACTAGGATTAGAAAAAATTTCTTGGTGAGTTTCATTCTAGTCATCGATGATCCAAGCATCTTCGGTGTCCATGGTGATCGTAGCATCATCAGGCGGTTTATCACCAACTCGTTGTGGTTTCTTGACGCATTTGTCATTATCAAGCGGCGGGACAGCCAGTTGGAGAGGGTTGGAAGGATTTTCTAAGAAGGTCGTAGCAAGCATTAGGGTTGATGTCTATATGAACTTATCAATTTATTAAAAAACAATTATTTTAATTTTACTAATTTAATACATACAATAAATTATTAGCTTAAATATACAAAAGGTGGCCAACTTATGCCCGTTTTTCCAGTTCAGTGTCTAATGTTTTTTCGTTCCAGTTTAGTGTCTAACGTTTCATTCCGTAACTCAAAATGGGTCACACTGTGACGGACCGTTAAGTTTGACCGTTAACTCATAAAAAATGCCACTTGACATATTTTTTAATATTAAAAAATAATTTTTTCAAATAAAAAAATAAATTAAAATGAAAAAAATAAACGTTATAATGGCTTTTACTGTTTAACCAAGGACCGTCAGCAGTCTTTCCCTCTATTCTCCTTCTTCAATCTTTTTTTGAAATTAAATTCAAGAACCTTAAATCAATTCTTGGATCATGTTTATGAAAATGCCAAAACCAAATGATTTATTCCTTCTTTGAAGTTTTCTTCTCCCTCACTAGATACCTCTCCTGACATAGGTCTGATAGCCATGTCCCTGGGCTCACCAACTACACAAGATCATGTTGGGACCGTCGGCGCACCCCACGACGTAGCGGAAACAAAAAACTCGACGGTCTCACCAGCGATCCAAGTATGTAAAACCGAAATCGGGAGGAAATGATGCGAATACTTACAATGGGTTCCTTGAAAAAACACAAAGATAGTAGCGACTAATGGTGATCACGAACGGTTCGAATCGTAAACCTCCACGAAAACACGTCTCAGCCTCTACTTAGTTCACCCAATTGAGAGAAAAATTTTCTTTTCCCAAAATCAGTTTTGAGAAAAACGATTAAAGTAAACGGCTGCTAGACCTTACCTCATTTAAATATATCAGTTACCCTAACATATTAGGGATTTTAAGTTATTTCGAATTAATAATAAACAACTTATTTAATTAATTCAAATTAAATAGACATTAAAGACTTATAATCTGAATTAAAATCTTTAATGTTTATTTAAATCTTATTTAATTATTCCGAAATAAATATCAATTAAAAGAGTTGTAATCAAAATTACATTCTTTTAATGTTTACTTACTATATTCGGGATAATTAAAATCATATGTATATAAAATATACATATATTAACTCTAGATATATTTCAGTAACATACAACAAATTGTACATCTTTACTCATTTCAATCCTAGGGTGTGACCTTGTAGGTTCTTGTAACGTTAGTAGTAATTATTAGAACAATTCTAATATTACATACAATGAGTGACATCTAGCAATATATCATTGTCACCTAAGTTACAAGAAATTATGATTCGACATATCATCTTCGTGATTAACTCTTTTATGTATTACATCCTTTTGTCATTTATATCTATAATAGGCACAAGTCTTAGAATAGTCACACTTGTATAATCCATCTATTGTTTCTTGATATCTAGAGTAGACTTTAATTAACGAATAGTTTGTGATATCTCATATCAACTTATTCGAGCATGGCCATGTGTTTCTAGTCTCACTCAATCAAGTGGCCTGTGATATATTTCCTATTATGTAGGAATGACAAATCATATCTTAATCATACACACCCACTACATATATTGAGATATATTCAATAACAGTATTTATAGAGCAACCAGTTACGGAGCTTGTTTAACTATATCAAAACATACAACAATATATGTTGGGATAATATTGATCTCAAGTCTGAGGATCATACATATAGTCATCACTATGAGCAATGTTATGACTGTCACATATTAATCCAAGACATATGCACATGGTGGGTCAATCCAATACATTGTTATCTAACAATATAATCATGTATCAATTCTGACATCTCTATGTCAATGACAACTCATTGCCATCAATCAATAACATGCTAGTTTTAAGCATATTATTATTGTCCATGCCCATAATAATACTTGACTAGGGATCTTTTAATAATAACAATTATATTATTATATGGACTTTATTATCTTCCAGTTTATGTTAAACACATATATATAACTGAAAATAATAGCGACAATGTCTTTATTCAATAAAATCGATAAATAAATGTATTATTATAATCATCATATGATTAGTCTTTGAGTATACTCTAACAGATCAAACCCCATAAATCAGAAAACAAAAGAGATGAAAACCCAACAAATGATTAAAAGGGTAGATTTGAACTCACGAGAATGCTTCTTTAGACCAACTTAGCCCTTTTCTAAGGCCTTTGAGGAAGCTTACATCCCTCCCTTCATTGCCATGAAATCTTGTTATTTTTCTTTGTTAGATAATGTGGTGAACAATCTGGGCAACACAATCCTTTTATCTTCCTTAACTTGTTGATCCATCAAAGCCTTTGTGTTATCATTGTGATTATCATCCAACATCAAGGAACCCGATCCCCTTGTTGTATAGTACCTATCTTCATTCTCCGGTGATGTCAATGCCGCTATTGGATTATTCGTTCCCAAATTCGAATTTCTGTCATAAGACCCAAATCACAGATCTATTCATTACACTTGTAAACTCATTTACTAGTTCTGGGTAATCAATAAACAAAACATTATAAACAAAAAGTGAAGAAGAAATTAGCTTTCTTTTTCTTTGTCTTACATCTTGTGACGATTGACAATAGGCCAAGAGAGGATTTTCTTGCTGAGCAAAGGTAAAGACTGTGGCGTCGTGGAAGTGTTGCCACCTCCGCCGCTGCTAGTGGTGTTGCCAAAGTGCTGCTATTTTTTTAGTTTGTTGGGACATCTTAACTTCTTTTTGTTTCCCCATTACAACAGGAAATCTTTCTCCATTTCCCCTTCCTGCATTTCCATTTACTTACCTCTCAAAGATCTACCAAAGGAAACTTAACAATGGCTTCAACAATGGTGACATAACTTACCGACAACAGGGGGAGAGAATGAAGGAGAAAGGAAAAATTATTTAGGGTTAAACGGTGAAAGCCATTATAACATTTATTTTTTATTTTAATTTATTTTTTATTTGAAAAATTTATTTTTTAATATTAAAAAATATGATACGTGGCATTTTTAATGGGTTAAAGGTTAAATTTAACGGTTTGAGTCACGGAATAAAACATTAACCACCAAATTAAAAAAAAAAACATTAAGCACTGAATTGAAAAAATGAACATACATCGAACACCTTTGTATATTTAAGCCTAAATAATTATTAAAAGAATATAAAAATTCTTTCTAAAGAGAAAAAACCATTTGGTGTCATCTTCAATCCTGGCCTTCCAGAAAATAAATCTCAAAAGAAAAATGAGAAAATTTGCAGTTTTTTAATCTAAAAATCTTCTCTAAACAACTTTGTTCAGGTATCTTCAATCCATTTTCACTAACCCGTCCCCTTTCTCTGCCTGAAACTGTCTCCTTTCACATTCATGGCCTTGTTTTTTTTTTTGCTAATCTTTTCTGCTGACAAGAAAGGTTTACTCTTTTTGGGGTGGTTTCTTGTTTGAAGTATACGTCTCTCAACAACTTTTGGCCTTGTTCTTTGAAAAGGTCTTGCTTTTTTCTGCTGGATTTATTAAATGTGTAATTAATTATTCCCATATGTTTGTTCTTTTTTCCTGTGGATTTGCATCTGTAGATCTCCTTTTTTTTCCCCAACACATATGCTTTTACAGCTCTTTTTTATTATTGTATTCTTTCTGATTCCTTCTATGAATTAGAAACCCAAAACTTTCTCTCTCTCTTTTTAATTCTGAGCGTTGTTCTTTTTGTTGGAAGCAGTTTAAGACATCGAATTCGTGGAGTGGTAGGATCATTGGATTGGAAGTGGAAAAGGGTATGGGGAAAATTCTTAAGGTAATTATTGAAGTGATTTGATAAGAAACGCGAAGGAATAGTTATTTTGAAGATGGTATTTTTAAGAGATTGAAGAACCAATCAGGTATTATCAATTGGTGGATAGGATTTTTGTCTCAGAATTCATAAGGGGTTGTTTAGATTTGGTGAAAAAAGATTGTACAATTAAAGATCATTTGGTGGATTAATCTGCAACATTAGCTATCTAGAAAGTCGAGGAGAGTTTCTTCAAGGATTTAACCCAACAAGTTCTGACGGTTCCATCAACTGAGAATAGGGGTTGTGATTGTCTAGCTGGTCTGGAGTGCATATTAAGCATCATCAGGGCCCTTCAAATGGGGTCCTGCTTTTCTGCTGAAAGCAGGAGTCCTCTCCCTGGATCGCCTCTGTCCCCTCATCCGGCTCTCGACTACTGGAAGAAGGGGTATTCGAGGAAGAAACCAGGATCTTCTGACTACAGAAAGGGGGAAACGTTGCATCGGATTCCAGGGAGGCTGTTCTTGAACGGCTCTACTGATGTTGCTTCACTTTATTCTCAACAAGGCAAGAAAGGAACCAACCAGGATGCCATGATTGTTTGGGAGGTGAGCTTCTTTTTATCCCATTTTCACATGAATCCTGATTCTGTCAAAGTGGTCAACCAATTGGTGATATATTTTCCTGCGTGTCATGTTTCCTTTGTAGCTTTGGAAACAAACAATAGATCTTTGATTAATTAAGAGTGCAATATTTATTGGATGAAGGAACATTCCCATCTTTCTGGTTGTTTTGTATTGCCTTCGAGTTGTTTATGTAACTTTAGGTTACTTGTGACATATCCTCATAGCTGCCTAATTGGAGGGAAAGAAATATCGCCGTATTCATTGATTGCAACTTCTTCCCTTTCATTCAGGATATAATCTAATCATGTAGTTTCTACATGCCCCACGGTGATGACTTCAAAAACATTTGACCTTTTTTTATCCCTGGATCATGTATCCTATTTGTTGCATACAAAGGGAAGGATAAAAGGTTATAGTAATAACAGATATGTGATGCAAATCACCAGTTTCTCCTTGTATTAGATATAGCTATTATGGTTACTAAAATTGATCTTCTGCATTATCATTTTCCATTTTTCACTATCTATGGCTGTTGTTTCCCAGAATTTTTGTTCCAGAACAGATACAGTTTTCTGTGGTGTTTTTGATGGCCATGGTCCCTATGGTCATATGGTAGCAAAGAAAGTGAGGGACCATCTTCCCTTAAAGCTGAGTGCTCACTGGAAAGTTAATATATCTGGTGGGGATGTTCTCAGAGAGATCAGTTTGAACAACGCAGGAAGCATCAACTCTGAAGAAACTGCTCTTATATCTGCTGATGAGGAGTTTAGGGCCTCGGTAGATATCATTGAAACAGAAAAGCTCCCAGAGATCTTTAAGACTCTTAAAGAGTCTTTTTTGAAGGCATTTAAGGTTATGGACAGGGAACTTAGATCGCGTACCAATATTGATTGCTTCTGTAGCGGAACAACTGCTGTAACTTTGGTCAAACAGGTATGCAGCTTCGACTTTTAAAAACTTTATTTGAACATATTATGGTGTGTTTCATAGTTAATTGTAATTCTGTTTTCTTGTTGTTTAGGGTCCATATCTTGTCATTGGAAATGTTGGGGACTCCAGAGCTGTGTTGGCAACAAGGGACAAAGACAATTCACTTACTGCAGTTCAGTTGACTGTTGATCTCAAACCAAATCTTCCAGGTCTGTTTGTCTGTTTTTAGTCAATCGTAACTACATGAATACGTTTATGATCCCCTATGAAATTTCAGATCAAATCTTCCAGGTCTTTTTGGAACTTTTGATATATGCTAAGTTGTCTTCTGTATCATTTATGATCCCCCCGTGTATACTACTGTCCTGAGTATAATTTTCCATTGTGTTTTGTTAGGATTGGAAGAAACAAATTGTAATTGTTTACAAAATATACTATTTTGTAATGTTCATGTTGTGCTTTTCAGCACATATAATATTTGTTTTGAGCCCTCAAATAGCACTTCTTGTTCTTTACAGCGGAAGCGGAGAGAATTCGAAGGTGTAAGGGTCGTGTCTTTGCTCTTCATGATGAACCTACAGTTGCCAGAGTTTGGCTGCCTAACAATGATGCACCTGGCCTGGCCATGGCACGGGCTTTTGGAGACTTTTGTCTCAAGGATTTTGGCCTGATCTCTGTGCCTGAGATATCTTATCGGCGCCTATCAGAGGAGGACATATTTGTGGTGTTGGCCACGGACGGGGTAAAGGAGCCAACATTAATTCATATTCAAAATACTGGCCTTTGATTGCTTATCTCGTAACCTAAGGTTTCCCTCAATATCTTGCAGATTTGGGATGTTCTTTCAAACAAAGAAGTGGTGGATATCGTAGCATCTGCCCCAGCACGTTCCTCTGCTGCTCGAGCCTTGGTTCACTCGGCAGTTCGAGCCTGGAGATACAAATACCCGACTTCGAAAGTTGATGATTGTGCTGTCGTGTGCCTCTTCCTTGATTCCAACTCGAGCAATATAACCTATGCTTCCAGTGCCAATGCAAAAGTGCAGCCAACTTCAACGGACTATGTCAACAACGAGAGCAAGAAAGACGATAGTCTCGACTGGTCTAGGACAGTGCGAACCGGCAAAGTTGTCCCTGGAGAGAATGAAGACGCTTCAACGACGAAGCAGCAGGAAACAAATTCGGAATTGGGAATAGATTGGTCTGCCCTCAATGGAGTGTCTCGTGCCGATACAGTTTTGAATCTCCCAAGGTTTGTTCCCGGAAAGGAAGATGAGAAAGGTTGGGAATGAGGAGGTCCGATTAGTACCTAAATTTTTGGTTTGCTTATGTTGTATTGCTTACTTTTCTCTACAGAACAATGATTGATGTCGAAATGTGCCCGGCTGTATTAGTGAGTCCGGGAATTTGTCCTTTCACTCTAGTGTGGGTAGAAATGGAATATTTTGTACATCCAGCTGCTCTCCATCTGTTTTTGTTTTCAGAATATATATATATATATATATATATATATATATATATATATATATATATATATGTGTGTGTGTGTGTACATTTGATGATTCTCCCTTGTATTTATTGCCTTTGGTGGGGTAATGAGCTTTAGGTATCACTTGAAGGACTTGAAGATGATACGATGATTATACTTTTAGGTCACTAAATGAGATGAGTCAAAATTCGATCGATCAACACTTGAATCGAATAGGCTCGAGTTTTTAATGAGTCAAAACAAGTTTTCAAGTTAAAAAAATTTTCGAATCAATTCGAGTTCAACTATACTCGAGTATGGTTCGACTCGATTTATTTACAACCCTAATCCTTTGAATTATTTGCTACAAAAGACATTTGTTTTTGTGGTAAGAAAATGATGTTTTGTTGACCAACTTTAATATATGCTCGATACCTTGGGAATTCCCACATTCTAAAATATAACGTGAGGACAAATGTGATTTCATTTATTTTAACCCTTGGTTTTGGAGAAGACTGGAATATAAGCAAAGTCCGCGTTCTCTTTCGAGTAAAGTAAGGAAAATGATTCTTGGTCGAACCACACACCATTCATTTAGTTTCTTGCATTCTAATTTGTCGTAACCGGTTTTCGTCCGGGCACGAAATATTATACTTTGCGGGAAAATTGATGTGAATAAATGGTTTTGAAAATAATTTGGGAGTCGCCATCGGCCTTTTGGGTCAGGTAGGTCGAATACCTAAAAATTATTTTCTAAAAGAGTTTTAAGAAAACACCAATAAAAAAATGAACTGATATGCATTTATAACCAAAAATTCGTTCTTTTTAATAATAAAAAGGGATTCGTGGTCGGTTACGTTTAGGGAAGGATTAGCACCCCTACAACGCCCAAAATTGGTACTTTTTAATTATAAATTGTCTCTATTATTATAAATTTAAAAAAATTCAAAATATATTTAATTTATAATCCTATTATTTCAAAATTATATAAAAATATTTAAAAATATCGGAAAAGAACTTCTAGGTGCCTTAAGACAGCTCTTTTCTTTGATATTGATAAATATTAATGTAAATTAAATAATATTTTTTTTTTATAATTTTTAATTTTAAAATATCAGAATAGGACATCCAGTTGTATTAAGACTGTCCTTTTCTTTGATATTGAAAAATAAATATTAAAATAATTTATTTAATATAAATATTTATTTATTATATATATATTTATGACTACATAATAAAAATATTTAAAAATATAAACAAGTAAAATTAAAATAAAAATACCATTAGAGCTATATATTTAAAAGCAATAAAATAAATGAAAACATTTAAAATAAATGACTAAATTATAGTAAAAGTAAAATTAAAAATCTAATTCATAATTAATCAAAATTATAGGGATTAAACATGCTATTTCTTTATTTTATTTATTTAGTGACTAAAATAAAAATATCTAAAATTCAGATTTTAGAATAAAATAAATTAAAAATATAAACTAAGGATTAAAATATATATTAAAATTAAGGGATTAAATCTGTTATTTATCCTAAATATATTATTTTAATATAAAGGACTAAAATAAATGAAATTAAAATTAAAGATCTGAATTAAAAGTATTATAAACTTGATTTAGTGACTAAAATGGAAAGTTTACAAGTTTAGATGGCTGCGGAAATGATTTAACTATTCTTTAATTACACATATAGTCCTTCCTGAAACGACGTCGTTCAGGAAGGCTATATAAGGTCCAAAACGGCTGGCCCGAAGGGCCAGCCTTCATTTCTCCTTCTCCTCTCTCTCTTCTCTGAGAGAGAAATTTTTTCTCTCGCTTCTCTCTAAACAGAGAGAAGCCAGCCGGCCGGCAGCCGTCAGTCGGCCTTCTTCCGCCGCCCACCGTCGCCGCCGGCCACCGCCTTCGGTGGCCGGAAAATTTTTTTTTATACTAAAACATAGATCGGACCGTCCTAATGACGGTCCCGATGACTTTTTCCTTTAAACGGCTCCCGATCGGAGCAAATCTAAGAAATATACCTTCGGTTTTTCGAAGGTTTTGGTGAGGTCCGGTGGTCGGGGCTTCCTCGGTAAGTTTCTCTTCTTTCTTTTTCTTTTCTTTCTTTTCTGTTTCTTTGCTGCTGAGATCGTTGGTAGTAGTTTTTTTTAGTATCTTGTTTCTCTGTTTTTCTCTCCGTCTCTGTCTGTTCTCCTTCTTGCTTGCAGATGGGGTGATGGCTTTATAGCCATCACCGGTGTGGTCATCGGACCGGGTAATAGACTACCCTTCGGTGAGTCACCGGACTACCAGTGGTGACTCACCCCATAGCCATGGCGTGGACGGCTGGCGTTGGAGCTTCTGGAGCCTTCGGTTGGGACGTGGCAGCGGTGGAGACGGCGAGAGCAGCTGCGGCGGCCGCGTGGCCCTAGGGTATCATACCCTAGGGTTTGCTGCTGGAACCATCTGGACCGTTGGATCTTGCCAGATCCAACGGCAGCAAGCTGAGGCGGCTGGGAAGATGGAAACCCTAATCTGTTAGGGTTTATGATGGGCCATTTGTAATTGGGCCGGTTGATTGGGCTTGTATATTTTTTATTATCATTTATATATGTATTTAATATATTTAATAATAATAATAATGATAATAATAATAATATTATTATTATATAATATAATAATTATATAATAATAATAATAAATCAATATGGGTAAAAATTAGTATCTTCAGCTGCCCCTCTTTGCTCATTCTTGTGTTAACAAGAATAGGGCAAAGATGAAAAGATAATAAATTTTTTTATCCATTTGGCTTCACTTGATCATAATGGAGATATTGAATAAATTCTTCTCTTTCTTCAGATGAGTTCTTCTTATTATGAACTTTCCACTGGAGATGATGTTGACCTTTTTCCTTCTGTGATAGAGTCATTCAAAAGGTTAAATAAGCTCTTCTCATTATGAACTTTCTCTGGAAAGGCTGATGCTAATCTATCTCCTTCTGTGATAGAATTATGCAAAAAGTTGAACAAGCTCTTCTTATTATGAACTTCTTCTTCTTCAGATGACGAGTTCTTCTCATTATGAACTCTACCTGGCAATGTTAATCCATCAAATGATGAATTTAAACAAAAGGTTGAACAAATTCTTCTCATTATGAACTTATTCTTCCTTCTTCAGATGAGTTCTTCTCATTATGAACTTTCTCTGGAAAAGCTGATCCATCAAATGATGGATTTGAGCAAAAGATTGAACAAATTCTCCTCATTATGAATTTCTTCTTCTTTCTTCAGATGACGAGTTCTTCTCATTATGAACTCTTCTTGGCAATGTTAATCCATCAAATGATGAATTTAAACAAAAGGTTGAACAAATTCTTCTCATTATGAACTTATTCTTCCTTCTTCAGATGAGTTCTTCTCATTATGAACTTTCTCTGGAAAAGCTGATCCATCAATTGATGGATTTGAGCAAAAGATTGAACAAATTCTTCTCATTATGAATTTCTTCTTCTTTCTTCAGATGACGAGTTCTTCTCATTATGAACTCTCCTTGGTGCTGTTGATCCATCAAATGATGAATTCAAGCAAAAGGGTTAAACAAGTTCTTCTTATTATGAACTTCTTCTTCCTTCTTCAGATGAGTTCTTCTCATTATGAACTCGAACTGGAAAAGTTGATCCATCAAATGATGGATTCAGGTAAAAGGTTGAACAAGTTCTTCTCATTATGAACTTCTTCTTCCTTCTTCAGATGAGTTCTTCTCATTATGAACTCTTTCTGGAAAAGATAATCCATCAAGTGATAGATTTGAATCTTTGCTAAAATCTTTGAAATTCCTGTTAAAAATTCAACATAGATGAAAATGAATGAAAATGCACCTATTTTTGCAAACACCTAAATATGATGCATGAATGTTAAGTTATTTGATTTCAGATTGGTGAATTGAGTATTTCTTCAATTGTAAAAACCCAATAGATCTTTCTTCTTCAAATCAGAGAATCTATCATCTTTGACAAATGTAGATGTAGATATAATGTCACAAAACCTCTTGAGAATAAAACTCAATAGTATAGGCTCTTGAAAAGCTTGCATTCAGGCAACATGTTGATTCTGATAACAACTCATCTGATTATGAAGTGACCTTTTCAGATGATTTCACAGATATCGATAGTTCTTTTAATATCGAGAAATCTTGAATTCTGATTATGATGAGGAGAATAAACTGTTATACTTGACAAAAATGGGATTCTCAGAGGCTGAAACTTCAATAGCCCTGGAGAAATGTGGTCCAGATTCATCAATTGTAAAATTGATAGATTTTATATGTGCTGCTCAAATGACTAAAGATGCTGACGCACTTCTTCCGGTAAAAGATGGGAAGCCATTATGTGATGATCCCAATTACAAGAAAAGGCGAAACCTGGGCTATGATTTTTGGGAAAGGAATAAGCAAAAGAAGCTTGAACAGAAGCTTCTTAATGAAGACGATCATGCAGTTCATCTTTTAATTCCAATGATTGGTTCTGTAGTTCCTACCAAACCAGATCAGATAACTCAAAGAACACTTCCAGAAGATGCTATTGAGTCTCCTTATTTCTACTATGAGCAAAGTCATCTTCCAAATTCAATGATTGGTTCTGCCAAACCAGATCAGATAACTCAAAGAACACTTCCAGAAGATGCTATTAGCAAATTCATCTTCCAAATTCAATGATTGGTTCTGCCAAACCAGATCAGATAACTCAAAGAACACTTCCAGAAGATGCTATGAGCACATTCATTTTTCTTTCAAATTCAATGATTGGTTTTACCAAACCAGATCAGATAACTCAAAGAACACTTCCAGAAGATGCTATGAGCACATTCATCTTTTAGATTCAATGATTGGTTTTACCAAACCAGATCAGATAACTCAAAGAACACTTCCAGAAGATACTATGAGCACATTCATCTTTTAGATTCAATGATTGGTTTTACCAAACCAGATCAGATAACTCAAAGAA